TGTGAGCATCTTTGCACAAAGCCACTTATGGATGCATTCCTTAAAGGTAATCCCTTCAGACAGAGTGAAGCTGCCATTTCTTTGAAAGATATTAAAACAGCTGTTGCTAGAACATAGAGAATTTCTGAGCTCTCTGTCAAGGGATGGACATTTGTAATGCTATATCTACTTTATTTACAGTTTGATACCAAATTTCCAGCTACTGAAGGTAATTGAGACTGCAAACAAAATCTCACTATCCACTGATCTGCCAAATCAAATTTCTTCTCCTGTAAGTATAGTGTTTTTCCTTAGCTTCAGAGAGGAAAAGAATTATGCAAAATGAATGAGAAAGAAAAGGGATTAGTTTATATAATGACCATAGCAGCCATCTCTCCCTTGATCTGTCATAGTTTATTCTCGAAGATGGGAATGATTATTATTGTAATTTAGAACAGAGCTTGTTCTCTTTCCTTCTGCTGCATCTGCTTACTACTCTCCAAATTAACACATATTTTAATAAAAACTAAACATCCCGATTATAGCTGGGGTGCTGGATGACCCCAGCTGGGATATGGGCACAGCAAGATTTTCATCATCTCTGTGTTCCCCTCCTGGAATGTCTGTGCACTGCCCTGGTCTTTGGTAGGAGTTAAAGCAGCCATGAGGCTATTCTAATGACTTCTGGCTACCAGAGGCCTCAGAAGAGGGCATCCAAGGCAGTAAATCAGCAGCTACGTGTCTCCTGTGCTGTTCTCCAGTTGTGTGGTGCTTCTGAGGATCTCTGGGAGCTCTCTGTCATCAGAGCAGCTCCCTGCTCCGTGGTGCTCCCCCAGCATCAGAGATGGGTGGGTGTCACAGCAGGAGCAGGCCGAGGGAGCTCAGCCTCCCTCATGGTCTCTCACTAGCTAATGTCAGAAAATAGATTGTTTCTAAAGGTCTTCAAAATTACACTGGATTTTTTTGCTGTATTTGAGGACTACTCACACTCCCATGGTCCTGTCCCATCCGTGTGTCTGGTGCCCACGTGTTAATTAACTTTGATGCCAACAAGGCAACTGGGTTTTCCTCTTTCTCTCCCCTATCTGCACCAAGATCTTCACTGCTCTCAACTCTGACTGAGAAATTTTATTAAACCAAAGCGTTGAGAGGTGAACTAATTGATACACTTGTTCTCCTGAAGTTGCTTCAACACTTTTGTAGCTGTAACTCTAGGGTTGAGCAGAGTCACCCCTAAAATCAAGGTGTTCACACCTCATCACCCCAGCACAGCGCTCCCCCAGCGTGTGGGGAAGCAGCCATGAGGCAACAGCTCTGCAGCATTTTGGGGACTCAGGTTAGTGACGGGATTTAACTCTGCAGAACTCATACAAAACTTATAAAGACCCTGTCCTTCACTTCAAAACATCTGTTAATTCTGCTTGTGTGCTCGTTATCGAAAGGCTGCCTATATTTTTCCTTTCAGGTTTGCAAAAATAAGCACCGGTGAATGAAGATGAAAGGGAAATGTTGCTGGTTTCTTCCCTGGAGATCGTATTTCTTACTTGTTGCATAACTGCTTATTTTAGCATCAATCAGCCGAGCCTTTGTTGTGCAGACAATTCGGTCCTTTTAGAGGATTTGTGCAGTATTGTTTCTTCCAAAATGCCTTTTTTTGTTGTTTTTGTTATTAGATTTATTTCTTGTCTTAGCAAATGCCAACTGACAACACCCCATCAGAGCTCTTCATAAGTGTTACATAAATGTCATACTATGTAAACTGAGTGTTGGATGTATCATATACATGACTTTTCTTGGAGAACCATCCATCAGGTGCTATCTGAGTGTGTGTGTCACATTTACGTATTTGTACACAAGCTGTGTTTAAGTGTGCATGTATGGTAGCCAAAATTCTATTATGGAAAGTACTCAAAATGCAGAAATGTCTGAACTCTTCTTGTCAGTGCAAGAAGAGTTCTTCATCTACCCCCTTTCGTTGAGGCAGAACAAGACTTTAATTTCATGTTCAGATACTCTTTTCCTTCTGCATCGCTGTGTGTGCAGTGAGATGGGCAGCAAGGGGCTCAGTGATGCCTATTGTTCAGCACACGAGCCTGGGCAGAGTACATTATTCAGCACATTATTCACATGTCTGACCACTTTTGGATTTCACAGCGATAGAAAACACGGCTCAAATACTTCTCGGTGCAGTTTTCAAAACAGAGCCAGGTGCTGATGTTCTGGATGGCAAAAATGCATTGAGGTTGCATCCAGGCATGCTGTGGACCTGCCCTGCCATGCTGTGACCTTCCTTAGAGATGTTGTCCAGAAATCACGGAGAAATGACCTCAAAGGGTGGGAAGGCTGCAGTGTGCAGTACAGGACCAGAGCAGGGGGACCTGCAGGTTCCTCAAAAGACACAGTTATTAATGTCCTCATGGTTCTTTCTGTAGCACTTTCCACTACACTGCCTCAGTGCTTCAGCACCTTCATTAATCCTCCCCAAACGCCCGTTTTGAAGATGGGTCAGGGTGACACATGGATGGATTAAGGTCAGTTTTGACTAATTCAGGGTACTCCATCTGAAAAGCATAATGTCTGCTTTTTCAGAGCATTTAACATGATACAGCACTTCATACATGCAAGCACAGCACCCACTGCTTCCAGCTGCACGAAGATGGATGTCAGCAATTCAGGCTAAAGGTTTCCAGCCACGCACCCGCAGTGTGGGCACTGCAGCCACCAGCAGCCAAAAGTTTGGGTTAATGACTTTGTTAGCATCATACAGCCTGTGGCAAGGGCACGGAGGGAATCTGCTTCTTTGGGAGAGTTTTGTCCTATTGTCGCAGTCTCTCCGAGTGTCACAGCCCTTGCATTGCTCCCTGGGCAGTTTATGGTTCTGCAGATAAGATGAGAATCTGACCAGTGTTTTCTTTTTGACTTACACAGCAGGTCCGGGGTGTGCAGGTGTTATAAGGAAATCAGACTGGGGCAGTGTAATTAAAAACTGCATTACAGTATGTGTGCACAATAAAATTGGTATGGGATGCCTCACTTTGGACCCTTGTGATGTTCTCACCAGGTAACACAATGACCTTCACAATATCCCTTAAGGCAGCCTGTGCACATGGATGAGGTGGGATCCACAGGTGAAGTCCTGGCAGTGAATGTTGCTGGATGCTGGAGCAGCAGTGTCAGCACTCACAGAGGTCCCTGGGGCTGTTGGGGACTGACAGACAGGGGCTATGCTTGTGTATCCCACTACTTTTGTAATCCCAACAAAGGCTTTTTAACCAGGGGTTGATGTTTCCTGTTCCCTGGGGGGGCCTGTTGAGTGGATTCTGAGCACCTGGGGCAGCAGATGCCCCAAAAGCAGCATGTTCAGAGATTTCAGCAGCATCAGGCTTTTCCCCCCCCCCCCCGTGTTGTGAGCTGCTCTTCTTCAAAGCCCAGCAATAGGACTAATTTGGGTGGGTTTATCTAAAAGACCATAAAAGGCTGCTTCATGCCAAATTTCAAGACCCTATTTCCAGAGTTACAGTCAGAAAAACATGGCAAGCCCAAGAATGACCAAGATGATGCTCTTCTACTCCGCTTTCATCTTTGGAAGAGGCAAAGGATTTGGAGCGTTCAGAAAACATTCAGTACAGGCTGCCAAGGCAGAAAGTTGCAGACTAATTCATTCAAGTTTGGCAATTTATGAGGAGCCACAACAGGGATGTACGGTGGGGAGCATCTGGCTACCGTAGCTGTGCTTCCTAGTGGTTTATAACCGGTAATTCAGCGTTTTAGAGCTCACCAGCTTAACGAACGTAAGAGATGATGGCAGATTGTGACTGAAAGACCGTAAGAGATGATGGCAGATTGTGACTGAAAGACTGTCTTTAACCTGAATTTTAATCTTCTGCAGCAATGGTTTAAAACAGTGCGAGCCAACTTCTGTAGGGCCCCCGGGAGCTGGTGAAGATGCACGGTGTACACCCAGTTATTATTATTTTAATTCAAGAAACCGTTTCTATCCCGACAGCACCGCTGTCGTTGTTTTTAATCCGGGGGAAAACAGCTGGCAACAGGCAGCCCTGAACCACCCAGAGCCCAAAACACTCGTTTGGGCAGCGCGCAGCAGGGTCACCCCGCGGGGAGGCGGGAGGCGGCCGCGCCGCTCCGCACCTCTGCGCGGAAAGTCTGCGAAGTTTTTTTTGGGGGGAACACACACGTGTACGCACACAGGCGGGTCGGGGGGGGGCTCTGCTGCCGCAGCAGCATCCCCAGCCCCGCCGCTCCTCGCCCCTCCGGTGCGGGCGCGGAGGCTCCGCTTCTCCCCCCCCCCCCCCCCCCCGGGGGGGGGGGGGGGGCCCCCCTTCCCCCCCCCCCCCCGCCCCGGCGGTTCCCACGCC